TCTTTAATGGACGATTCTCACTCGTTTTAAGTTGGAATTTAATTTTTTTTGCACAGTTAGATCAGATTAATTGTGCTCTTCAAAATGATATCTAATTTGATATATTGTTTGAACAAAAAAAATTGAGTAATTTTTTACGAGTATATATCATATGATATTCGGTAGTATTAAATAAGAGCATATCATATAGTATGAAAAATCTTACCATGGTGGTATGAACATGCCAAGACTGTAGGATGATTGAATACATGATAGTAGGAGTATACTAACTGTCATTTACGACTTTCAACATTTTGTACCACAAGATACCACTCCGTAACAGGGTGGTATTGTGTGGTATGTTTTGGTCATGTATTTTGTTCGCCCAGAAATTTGTAGACCCAATAGATCATGATGAACTCGTTCCTTCTATACAAAAAATTTCAAAAACAACTAAAAAACGAAGAAGATTCCATATGGTATGCAGACTAAGAGGTTTTGGCTTTAATGCAAAGATCACAGGGCGGCGGGGAGCCAAATTTCGAAGCCAAGGAGTCAGGCAACAAATTGCAACGAAAAATACTAAGTAATCGAGCATTATGAGGATGACCAAGCCGACGAAGCCATAATTCCCACACAGATGTTCGAACACTGAAATCCAAAGAATCTAAATGCCTAACTGAACAAGCCAACAAAGAAGAAGAATCACATGGAACCTCAGAAATGTGTTCCTTATTCAACAAAGAAGTATCTTCAACTAAACTATCATCTTCAAACTGATCATCCTGTGCCGAAACAGCAAGAACATTTGAACAGTCTCCATGCGCCATGTCCATATTCCCCAAAGAGAACAACTTCTCTGGCAACATCTCCTGAGATCTATCATACTCTTCAAGAACAAAAAAGCGGTCATCCTTCTTACCCTTGCCTAATACCTTCCCCGTGATCGAATCCTTCACAACACAACCTTGATTATCGAACTTGAACACAGACCCATCTTTCGTTAACTAGCCCACCGAGACTAGCAGAGGAACAAGTTGAGGAACAAATAATGTGTTGGGCATGGTAACCCGGTCAGTGGATGTTGTACCGACCCCTGGGTAGGAAGTCTTGTCCCATTGGAACCTTGTAAAGAAGATATAAGTCCAATACTCAACACATAAAAGTGAGAATGAGCATTAGTCATATGGTTAAAAGCAGCAGAATCAATTAACCAACATGAATGAATACCTTTACCACCTCTCGTAGCAAAAGCTGATTTAAGTGCAATAGGAAGAGCATCCTGAAGAGCCTCAACCACCAAGCGAAGAACATCTGCAGATGTGAGTCCAGGCGAGAGAGTAAAGGCGGGGGTAGGATCCATTACTGGAGCCAGAGCTACGGCATAACCAGCGCCAGCAGGACTAGTGCTCCGAGAAATTGTGCTAGCCGAAACAACGGAACTAGTACCTGCCAAACCACTTGCCCCGCAAGAAGAGGAGTTTCCCTTGTTGCGACGGGCTGCGGCCTTGCAATCGAGCACAATATGGCCAAACTGGTTGCAGTAAATACAAAAGTTCTTCTACCGGCAATGATGTTGGATATGACCAACTTCATGACAGTTTTGACATGTCTAATTACTCGTGCTACCCTATTGAAAATGAGGACGAGAGCCCCCTGCCCGACCAACAGCAAAAGCGGTGTCAAAGTGCTCCTCGAGCCTGGAGAGGCTGCGAAGGCAAGTTTCTTCTCGGAATAACTCCCTAAGGGCCTCATCGATAGAAGCAACGTTGCGATGAAGGATAGAGGCCCTGATGGCTTCAAACTCCGGCCAAAGCTTCATGAGAAACTGCATGTGGCGCGCGAGACCGATCATGATCCCTGATGGAAGCAGTAGTAGCGGGAGTGTTAGTGAAGGAGGCAGCCAACAAATCCTGTTATGTCCATCGAGTAACAACAGTCTGATAATAGGAGCGGATATCCCAACCCCCCCTGTGTAAATGAGGCAAGCTCACTTTCAATCTCAAACATGCGTGAAGCATTGTTCTGAGAATGCATGGAGCATATATGGGTCCACATCTCACTGGCCAGAGTGAAACAACAAAGACTCAAGCCATTTCCCAAGTTAATCTAGTCGTGAATCAATGAAACCAACTAAGCATTGCTAGCTGCCCAGTCATCCTTATCTTTGGAGGAAGCATCGTCAGCAGGCTGGGGTAATTTCCTCATCACAATCGGAAGGAGGCGCTTCCTAGAGACAAAGCTACGAAATTGAAATTCCTAAAACGGGAAGTTGTTATCGTCGAGCTTTGCCGAAACATCCTCAAGCTTTCCTGAATTCATTGTCGAACACAGCAAACATGCAGCAAAATCTAGAATAATCGAGATGAGGGTAAGAAGAATACCAAAAGGATCACCAAACCAAGAACCCCAAAGAGAAGCAAACAAGACCAAAGTGTCGCAAGAGAAGAGAACGCAGTGTTGGAAAAAACCAATCAAAGGCGCTGAAGAAAGTCAGACACAGCGGCCAGAAATAGGGCTGAGCTGCCGAAGAAAATCTGACACAGCAACCAAATAAATCAAAGAAGAATCCTGAAGATTCAGTTCACAGGCTCTGATACCATGTCAAAATCAAAACTCAGGAACACCGAGTTTTTTAACGTGGTTTCGTCAAAGTGACACTAGTACATGGTGAGAATCTCCCTCACAAGTTTTTTTTTATTGTTATTTGCTTTGTACTCTTTCTACGGGTTACAAGAGTAATATATAGGTTTAGAAACCTAATGGCAGCTGAGACACACTAGGCTATTTAGAAAATGGTACTCTAAAATATAATTAACACAAGAATCGGGGTTGCGGCTGCTTCTGAATGCTGCTCCCTGATCATTTTCATGATAGGAGAGCCGAAAGGAAGGATGCTAATTTAATTGAGGAAATAAATGGGGAAATAAGTCGTTGGTGACTATTTTTGGTGATGAAAGTAGGAGAATTGTGGTGTTGGTAGTGTTCTTCTTGGGGAGATGAATAGCGAGAGAATGATTCTTGGTGGGAGTATTAGTTTAGGCTAATTAATGGAATTTTGAAGGCAAAGAAAGTGAGAGAGGCATAGACTGGAGATGACATTTATAATGCAAAAAGTGAGACTTGATTTGTCTTGGTTTTGGTTAATTTATATGGTTAAATTAGAAATTAAGAATTCTCATTAGTCGGGCGTTACATTTATCTCTCACTTAAGAAAATTGTGCCCTCGAAATTGAAATATTGAGAATCAAAAGAACTTTAAGTTCAAATTCTTATTACTGCAAATGTTATAGTATCACCCATTTATTACCACCAAGCTCTCTGATTACAATGATACATCAAGGAATAATTTTGAAAACTTCGTTCTCGCATCCTCTTCACTCTCTCGGGAAGCTGCTTCCTTTGCTTGGTTTCTCCACACCACCTTCACCAAATGAACCTTCCTCCTTTGCAGTTCCTTATCCGGCAAGCCAATGATCCAAACTAGTTCCTCGATGTAGGACATATCACTGCCTTATTTAGTATCCTCCAACCTAACAATGTTCGTTGGGTCTAATCTGTAACTCTTGAGCGTACTAACATGGAGCACATTATGTATCTTAGGCAAGTTGGGGGATAGTGCCAATCTACAACCCAAAGGGCCTACCCTCTCTAGTACTTCATATGAATGCTCAATGTATCTTGGATTGAACTTGACCTTCTTGCCAAATAGCTTAACTCCATTCCGTGGAGACACCTTCTATACCACTTTATCTACCACTATATAAGTCGTGTCCTTATGTTGCTTGTCTTTGTAGCTCTTTTGACAATCTTCAGCAAACTTCATGTTCTCTCGTATTTGCTTCACATTATCCACTCTTACTTGTACCAATTTTGGGCCATCAATCTGCTTCAATCCTTATTCATCCTAGTAAAAGGGAGATCTAAACTTCCTTTCACACAAGGATTCATATGATGCGCATTCAGAGAGATGTGGTAATGGTTGTTATAAAAATTCTAACATAGGAAGATACTTATCCTACGATCCCTTTATATACAAAGTACTAGCTCTCAATAGATCCATTAATGTCTGAATTTTCCTCTCGATATGTGGATGATAGGCAACCGAGAAATGAAGATTGGTCCATAAAGCCTTGTGAAGGCTCTTCCAAGTTCCAATACTACTCAATGAAGGTAGTATACCAGTATGATACAATGGTTAGAGTAACTTTATGTAATCTCACCACATCGTAGACATACAAGTTTGCCAATGCATCCACCCCTAGTTTGAACTTGATGGGAATAAGTGGACGGATTTGGTGAGACGGTCTACAATCACCCAAACCCTATCGTTATCCCACTATGTCCCTGGAAAACTATACACAAAGTATGTAGAGGTGCGTTCACGCTTCCACTCAGGAACCTCGAGTGGCTTGACCTTCCCCGCTGAAACCTGATGTTCTATCTTTACCATCTTCAAGAACTAGGAAGCACCAACCAATAAGACATCAAATAAAATAGAATGGGAAAGAAGACAACCTAGATGAAGGATGAGGGGAACGAGAGAAGGCAAATCGAAGTGCACCAAAAGCTCGTTTCCATCCATACCTCGCTAGACCAAACACAATCATGAGCTCCAACCAAACATCATGCAAGAGGAGGAAAATCACAGTAACAAGCGGCTGACCCCTAAAGCTCAGAGATGGGGTCTTTGTCTTCAACATCAAAATACTTCTTATAGACCATTGCATGACGGAAGGTCATTGCATTTTTGGATCACTGACTGGTTGGGTGAAACGATGAGCTACAAGAAAGATTAAGCAACGAGAAGATCGACGAGCTACAAATTGGAATCCATAGCCCATTTTGCTCACCAAACAGAAGACCCCAAAACTTCAAGATATGAAAATTAGACAAAGAAGTTGGAGTTGGAAAACACTCATCTCGCAAGGAGAGGCAGAAGCAAAAATCCCATAGAGGGGCCAAAAATCTGAATGAAAAAGGAGCAAAAATGAAAAAAAAAAAACAGCAAGAGAATAAGACAAAGACAACATACAGAATTGAAAAGGGTGGAGCACGCACGTCTCTAAATTGACGACGGTGATAGAGAGCTGGAGAAAGGAACTCTAGAGAGTAAATCATAGAGATTGAATTTGAGAGAGAGAAGAAAAAAGACACTTTATTATTTTTGGATTTTCCTTGTAAATTATACGACACAAATCACAGTTACTTCTTATTTCACCTTTTTCACAAGCAATGACAGCAATAAAAGCAAACACTTTCTTCTTCTTCTTCTTCTCAAAACACTAGAGGATGGTAAGTACTAATCACACACTTCTCCACTTCCTACGCCGCCTCTTATCAAGCCAACAAAACAAAATCCCCGTAGCTTCTCCCTAACGGATCACAAAACTTAAGCTTGCATAGTCTTGGCCACATCGATGACGAATCGGTACTTAACATCTCCCTTCTCAAGGCGCTGCATCGCCGTGTTCACGTAATCGGCCGGTATAACCTCGATATCAGCTGTGATGTTGTGCTTTGCTGCGAAATCGAGCATCTCTTGCGTCTCCTTCATCCCTCCGATGCAACTCCCCCCTACTATCTTCCTTCCTGCAGTTCATATATCCTCTCAACAGTCAATAAATACCCACAAATTAACTGGAAGGCTAAAACCCTGATAAGAAGATGAAGAAAAGCATCTCTCATACCCATGAGCAGAGGGAAAACTGGCAACTCCAGTGGCTTCTCCGGAGCGCCGACCAACACCAACTTCCCATGTGTCTTGAGCAGCCCAATCAAGGGCATAATTGGGTGCACAGCTGACACTGTGTCAATTATACCATCCAGCGTCCCCATTGCAGCCTATGTACATACACCAAAACAACATAATGAATCTCAATTCCTGAATTCATAATTAACCCAAAATCATTAATATAATTTACCTTCATTTGTTCCTGGTCGCGGCTGACCAAGAAGGAATCCGCACCATGTCGCTCAATGGCCTCCTGCTTCTTGGCAGGGGAGGTACTGATGACGGTGACCTTAGCGCCCATAGCTTTGGCGAACTTGACCCCGACGTGGCCCAGCCCACCGAGCCCAACAATGCCCAAGTGGATCCCGGGCTTGTCGAGCCCGTAATACCTTAGCGGGCTGTACAGCGTGATCCCGGCGCAGAGCAGCGGGGCGGCGGCGTCGAGAGGGAGGGCGTCGGGGACTCGGACCACGAAGTGCTCGTCGCAGACCATGACGTCGGAGTAGCCGCCGTAGGTGACGGTGCCGTCGTGGTAGGTGCCGGCGTAGGTCAGGATCATTTTGGGGCAGTAATTCTCGATGCTGTTGGAGCAGTTGTCGCAGGAGCGGCATGACCCTACAATGCACCCTACCCCGACTCTGTCCCCAACCTTGAATTTCTCCACTTGGCTCCCGACCTCTGTCACTTCTCCCACGATCTCGTGCCTGCCAATCCCAAAAAACGTCACATGGGTTCATATATATGTGCATAAAGTAATTGGATGAATCGATTTTTGGTTAGGAAACAGGGGCGAGACGAGAGTTCGAAAATTACCCAGGGACAAGAGGATAGGTACTGGTGCCCCACTCGTTCTTGATCATGTGGAGATCCGAATGGCAGATCCCACAGTAGATGACCTTGAACTTCACATCCTTCTCCCCAGTCGCTCTGTGTATTACAGTGATAACTACATTACATCGACAAATACAAAGAAAAAAAAAATTCTCGAAGGGAGAAACGAAATCGAGTGAAAGCCAGAGTCGGGAGGAGGAAGACGAGAATTCCAAACCTTCTGGAGAAGTTGAAGGGGGAGAGGACTCCAGATTGGTCCCTGGCAGCCAACCCAAACGCCGGCACCGGATGTTCCTTCTCAGGCTGATTCCCAACCATATTTGCTTGGCCGAATCGGAAATGAAAATCTGGAAAGGGAAATCTAGATCGAAGCGGAATTTCCTGATATCTCTATCTGTGTGTGTGTGTGTGCAGAATTAGGGAATTGGAGGCTGCGCGAGGGCGAGTTTATATAAGGGAGCGGGACGAGGGTAGAATCAAGTGAACAGATAATGCGTAGTAACGTCAGTTGGTTGTTGGTAATGGGCTGAAGCCCAACGTTGTTGAACCGGCTGCTTTGTCTTTTGTGTTTGTGGACAGTATTCTTTTGGCACTGAAGTTGCCACCCAATAGCATCAGTCACCATTCGAATGTGAATTATGGGCTTAATTGCAAGTTTGGTCACTCGAATTGCTATAAAATTTCACGTTTGCCACTCAAATTAATTTATTCCATTTATAGTCACTCGAATTAGTTGAACAGTTCAAGTTCGGTCACTCTCCGTTAACCTCCGTTAACTTTGACTGACGTGGCGGTCAACTCTGACAGTTGACCGTTAAATGTGTGACGTGGCAAATAAAAAATAATTAAAAAATAAAAATTAAATTTTTAAAAATTACACATCATTATAAAAAAAAATATAAAAAATGAAAAAAAGAAATTCTACACCGACTATAGATATTCTTTCTATACCCTACCTACCTAAGTAAACAAACTCCATTTATCCACCGTCTTTTCCTTTTTTACCCCTCGCCGGCCGCCACGCCGTCCTCAACAAATTACAACTAATAAAGTTAATCAATCAAGCCGGCGAGCTAAGCGTGGGAACCGCCGCCGCCGTCGCTAGGGCTGCCGCTATGATGCGTTCTCTTGCTGTCCTGATTATTCTGGCTGTGCTTCCGCTTCAGTATCTCCTTAATCTCCGTTTCCTTCCTATCTACAAACTCTATCAAGTCCTTGAAGCTCGTCGTCCTCAACGACCGCCGCGGCGTCCTCGTCGCCGGTCGAATGTCCTCCGTCTCACCGTCGCCGTCTCCGCCGCCTTCGTGGGGCGCGAATCTGCTGTACTGGCCGTATACCCGGCAGGAGAAGATGAGGAGGGCGAGGAGGCAGGAGAGGCCGCAGATCAAGAAGAGCCCCCAGAAGCTGTTGAGCGAGAGGCGGTTCTCGTCTACCCGGTTGAGCGAGTCGGTGCACTCGCTGTGGAGCAGCCATTTGTTGTGGATCTTCTGGAGGTCGCCGTTCTCGGAGAGTTGGAGGATTGCCGTCGAGAGGTCGACGGCCAGTGGGGAGTCTCTCTGAAACGCCTGCCGTCCGTCGCCGGAAGAGGAGCAAATTAAGGACAGATTAAAACGTCACATTTTCAATTAAAAGGGGATAAGAACTTACAATTGTGATAATTTCTTTTATTCATTTTTTATAATTTTTTTATAATGATGTGTAATTTTTAAAAATTTAATTTTTATTTTTTAATTATTTTTTATTTGCCACGTCACACATTTAACGGTCAACTGTCAGAGTTGACCGTCACGTCAGTCAAAGTTAACGGAGGTTAACGGAGAGTGACCGAACTTGAACTGTTCAACTAATTCGAGTGACTATAAATGGAATAAATTAATTTGAGTGACAAATGTAAAATTTTATAGCAATTCGAGTGACCAAACTTGCAATTAAGCCGTGAATTATGTGATGACATCTTTGCTTATGTAAACAAAAGAGGATGGTCAACGTCCTTCATTACCCAGAACAAAGTGGGATCCTTTCCCCTAAATACTAAGTTTGTTAAAACAAAATTCATTATACATTATTTCCTCAAAAATTTCTCAAACTACGAAAGTTTGGACTAGATCGCTATAATGGCCAGCGATTTTGCTGCAGATTGTTGCAATGTTTAGAGGTTTTGTTGAAAATCATTGCCAACAAAAGAAACTTGAGCAGAATCACTGCTAAGCTAAGCAATTTCGCAAAACCGCGGCGAACTAGGGTTGGCAACGTAACCCTATCCACGGACAGGGGCGTAGCCAGGATTTCGCTTAAGGTGGGTCCGAAATGAAAATATATAAAAATAAACTTAATTAATGTTTACAATGAACCACGACGTGTTTTCATATCTTGGAAAGTTTGTAAAATACACTCATCATCCAACCTATCTAAGATATCACTCTCAACATATCCTACTAAAAAATCATTCAACCCTTCATCACTCATTCGACTTCGTAGTGTGTTCTTCACGTAGTTCATTGCCGAAAAAACTCTTTCAACACTAGCGGTGGCAACTGGTAACAACAACGCCAATTTCACAAGTCGATACACTAGCGGAAACGATCGAAACTTCTTTGCCACAACCATTTCCCTACAAAGCTCAGCAATTCCCTTCAACTTAGTGAACCTCGTATTCATCTTCACATCAAAGATATAACTATCTAGCTGAGGATCAAGATGTAAGATATCATCAATCGAGAATTCATTAGGATAGAAGGTAGCAAGCTTCAACAACTTTTCCTTGTCAAAGTCAGCAAATGCATCATCCGGATTTAGGCAAGCCACACAACATAGCAATTCAGTGTTCACCTCATCAAAACGACTGTTAAGCTCTTGTAACTGCATATCCACCACTGTATAGAATAACTCAACCTTGTAATGATGCAGATTGGTGATTTGTTGAGCATTTCTCCTTGGCCTTCCAGAAAGAATGTATAACTCATCCATGTTGGAAATGGGAAGATATTCCTTCTTGCAAAAAGAAATCACACTATCAAGAAGAGACTCCCATCCTTTATCTCTCAAATCTTGTAATCTAAGCTTTGCTCCACGAACAAGCTGCATGGCATTCACTATGTCTTGATCTTTCCTTTGCAATGATTTAGATAACTCATTAGTAATTGCTAACACTTTAATCATCATATGCAAGATGAATGCAAAATCAAAACTTTGGATGCATATCAATGTGACAGATGCTTCACCCTTTGCTTCACCTTTTGCCTCCTTTTTGATGATATCCAAACAATCAATAACAGAAGAGTATATCACAGGCAAGTTAAGAAGTGTGTCAAAATGAGATCCCCAACGAGTATCACAAGGCCTTTTAAGACCAACTTCTTGATTTAAACCCCGTCCAGTCTCAAGTTCACCACAACATAATGCCTCAACAACTTTAGCAGCTTGACTTTCTCGAATGTTGTCCATCCTCTTACACGATCCTCCTACCAAATTAATCAAGTTGGTAATAAGCGTGAAGAAGCCACTAACGTCTCCATGTTGTTTAGCAACAGCAACAAGCGTTAACTGCAGTTGATGGGCAAAACAATGAACATAGTAAGCTGATGAGTTTTCTGCCAAAACTAAAGCCTTGAGTCCATTGATTTCCCCACTCATGTTGCTAGCTCCATCGTAACCTTGGCCCCTTATTCTTGACAAGCTCAATCCACTTGTCACTAGAATTGATTCAATTTCCATTTCAAGTGTCAAAGCTTTAGTATCTGAAACATGAGCAATCCCAAGAAGTCTCTCCATCACATACCCTTCTTGGTTTACATAACGTAACACAACAGCCATCTGCTCTTTGATTGATGTATCACGAGCCTCATCCACCAAAATGGAAAACAGATCTTCTCCAATATCACAGATTATTTCCTTAGTTATTTCATATGCAATAGCATGAACAATGTCCTTTTGTATATCTGGGGAAGTCATTTGAAGATTTTTAGGTGCATTTTCCAACACAACACTATGCACATCCACTCTACCAAAAGCATGGAACTTTAGAAGTTCAATGAAATTCCCTCTATTCTTCGAACTTTCTGATTCATCATGTCCACGAAGTGCATGACCTTGGCGTACAGAATGCCTGATGCAGTCAATTGAAGCTTGCAAATGAATTCTATAATCTTTCTTTACTTGGTCTGACTGTTTGCATAAAGCAACTCTAATGCTTTGTGACTGTGTTAACAAGTCTTCACACTTTCTCACAGCCTTATTGTGCTCGCTATTAACAAAACCAACATGGTTATCAAGAGCTTCATCTCCTCTATTCCATGCTTTAAAACCAGTAGAAATGAAAGAAGCACCTCCACCTTTTCTACCATCATCACTTCGAAACAAGAAACAATGCAAGCAATATGCAGCATCTTTTGCAATGCTATACTCCAGCCAATGATATTTTTTATACCAAGAAGCTTTAAAGCTGCGAAGCCTTCCCTCGACATCTTTAGTTGGAAAATTATGATTGGGTCGACAAGGACCTTTCTGAAGATAATATCTTCTAACCATATCTCGAACATTATGATGAAAGCATGATAATTGTTCTCTTAAGCCAGGATCAGCTTTCAATGAGCTCACATCCAATTCACTTTCTTTAGACCCAAAGCAAGGTTTGGAATGATTTACCGGGAAAGATGGTTGTGGCAATATTGGTGGTGATGTTGAGCTAGAATCATGTGCAACCACTCTTGATCCGCCAACTTCATGCCCGTGAACATCTGAAGCTGTTGTCTTCGGCTTTTTGGGATAATATCTTTCCATAATTAAAATCTACATAATAGAAAAGTAAGCAGAGAATTAAACCATTAATCAAGAATCTAATGAGAAAGAGTTTCAAGTTCAAATCCCTTTTCCAATGAATAAGCTAGTTCAATCTTTCTTGTTTTGGCTAACTGGCCATTATTCTGATTCACATTGCAATTATTCTATTGAATCCCTCCCACTTAATTACTTTCACAATTCCCCTGTCAAAGGCCATTATTCTTTCTCATTTAAACAACCTGTAGAGATCCCACGAAGAACCAATTATATTAATTACCTAATGTAAAGTGGGATTGTTGGGTAGTGCCATGGAATTGTATATACCTGCTGTCTCTTGTCTTCTTCCTCTTGACTCTTAGTGTTATAATAAAGCAAGTGGTGTGTTGTGTGCCTGTGGAGAGAGAGAGATGCGAGACTCTGCTGTTGTTGGAACTTGGACGGAAGACTCTGCCTGACTGCCTCCGCCCCTGACTATCGCGGACCGCGGAGAGGATCAACGCTAGAAGATGATGATGAGTAGACCACCAGACATGGCCATCTGCAATAGGATGAAATTCAAGATGAATTGGTGTGGTGGTTGAGGGTTTGCGGCAGCGGCGCTTGTTCTGGGAAGGAGAAATCGAAAATTTCTGAATTGGGGATTTGGAATAAACAAATACGAATAGGTTTTAATTGTTATTTGATTCTAAATTAGTTTAAATAGTATAAAAAGCCGCGAGGTTAATACAATTACAAAAATCCTTCTAGTCGACTGGTAAGGTTTACTAACTTCTGTTCCCCTCAGCTAGGTTCGAT